CTCCAGTGCCTCACCACGGGGCACATCGTGGACATGCAGCCAAAATCTATTCAGTGAATGGAGCTCCTGAGGGCTCGACAAAACTCACTGATGCAACCGATGGGGCCACCAGGACATCAAGGGCCAGTTCGCTCCCTGCCCACCATCCCGCCTGGGCTGGGGAGTGACATGCGCCCACGTCCCTTTCCCTGCAGCTACAGGGGGCACAGGAAATGGTCTGACCAGTGAGACACAAGCAGAGGTTGCGGGCAGGTCTCTGGAAAGCTCCTTCCCCTTGGCCCTAACCCTGCCCCCTGCCTGGAGAGCAGAGGCGATGTTGGCGGTGGAGCAGCCCCGTTGTGACTGAGAGGAGGCACAGGGTGGGTGAGGCGGTCACTGAAGCCAGTGTCCTGTGGCTTTGTGGAGCTGCCAGCCCAGCCCTACGCTGCCCACTGCCTCACTCCTTATGTGAGGAACTTAAAGCTCCCCAAAAGGCCGTCCAAGGAAGTGACATGTAGCCAAGGGCTCCTTGCTGGGGTGCAGAAGGGCCCAGCCAGCCTCCCTGCCTCCTGCCACCTCCTCGCGGGTCCTTCTGCAAGGTCACTGCCGCTACTCTGCCCGGCGCCTCGGTCTCCTGCTTCCCGCACCCCCTCCCCTGCGAGGTGAGCCCTGGGGAGGCTCTGGGGCGGGACCATGCCACCCTCAGGTTATCCCAGCACCGAGCCCAGAGCCTGTTCAGAGGGGACACTCGTGTGCCTTTGGGGCATGTGCTCCTGGGCCTTCTCAGTTTCAACTTAAATAATGTCTGTGAAATCTGGTTGGAATTGCGAGTTATATGAACGTGCCACCGTCACAATGAAAGGTGGGCATCGGGGGCCCCGGGAAATCATCTCACCGACCCCAGGGCATGTGGAGCCCCCCTGGGGACCACTGGGGAACTCTGGCTCCTTCCCATTCCAGGGGCGCCATCCCACGAGAGGACACCTGCCGCGGTGACGGCCGATCCCGGTGCAGGGAGAGGCTCCCTGAGGTCCTCCCGCCTCCACCTTCTGGAACTTACCATGAAGATGATGGACACCAAGTTGGTGAAGTAGGCTGGGAACCGGTCTCTCCAGGTCAGCTTCACCTTGTCGGTCTACAACATGGAACAGCGCTGGTCACTGTGGGAGCCGTCATGGTGGGGAGGTGTGTGTGTGTGTGTGTGCATGTGTGCGTGTGCATTTGCACACGTGTATGTGCTGTGTGCGTGCATGTGCGTTGTGCATGTGTCCACGTGTGTGCTGTGCATGNGGGAGGTGTGTGTGTGTGTGTGTGCATGTGTGCGTGTGCATTTGCACACGTGTATGTGCTGTGTGCGTGCATGTGCGCTGTGCATGTGTCCACGTGTGTGCTGTGCATGTGTGTTGTGCATGTGTGTGTGCGAGTGTATGCGTGTTGTGCATGTGTGTGTGCATGCCCGTGTGCATTGTGCATGTGTGTATATGTATTGTGCATGTGTGTGCGTGTATATGTATGGTGCGTGTGCGTGTATATGTATGGTGCATGTGTGTGCGTGCGAGTGTATGCGTGTTGTGCATGTGTGTGCGCTTAGGTGCACACAAACTCAGACAACAGAAATACTTGGAAACACCTTAAAAAACCACATCTGCAAGTGATGCGCGGATGCAAACATCTAGTGTTCACAGAAACAGCGGGGGTCTCATGACCTAGGAAATGATGTCCTGTCACAACAGGAGCCACAGTCCTTTAAAATGGGCCCCTTCTAGTAATAGTAGTAATAATAATAATATAATAACAACATCGTCAAACACTTTTCCAAGTCAGGCAGAGCCCCGTCGGGGGACGCCGCGGGGGCGCCCAC